TAGGAATACTTTTATCTTGAACACATCGGGACAGGACAGGATGACTGGGCCACCTTCTGATGCTGAGAAGATCTACTATCTAGTTGTACTCTGAGACGGCAAGGCGGCAAGGCAGCAATGTAACATAGCTGATATCATGAAAGGCTGAACCACCAACAATTGTATTTATGTGGATCACACACACGCACACACACACACGCATACACACATTAGAACTTTGTATTGACTTCCATTCATTTTAGTATTCCATTTATGCTTAGCCTAGACATTTTCCCTAACCCTATCTGCTGTTACTACTATGTTCCTAACCCTAACTTTAACCAAAGCCTAATTCATACCATAACTATAAACCCTGAGCCTACACAAGGGGGCTCCACTGTATTATCACCGGTTTTTGGTCCTCATTTTTTCAGCAAAATGATGAAACCAAAACAACCAAACCAAAACAGAACAAACGAAAAAGGAAACTTCCGTGAGCTGCTAGAAGGAAATTAACCTCCAGCCCCTCCAGAGAAAGGCATGTGCAGGAAATTATATTTCCCAGGGAACACATGAGTTATGTAGGATCCCTGGAGCTCTTTTGTTTGGTAAAGTATCGCCGGAGAGCCTAAATCACAAGCGAGCAGCAGAGGGGGCAGAGCCGCGCAATGAGGTTCAGTCAGTGTGAGAGCTGGAGAGCAGGGGTGTGGGCTCTAACTGTGCACCCCTCGGACGCCCCGGCGAGAGGTGAAAGAGCCATGAGAAAGAGGCATGTGAGTGAGGAGTAAATGGTTTGCTGCAGCTAAATGTGGCCTGTAGATAAGACTCACACAGTGATGGGGTGAGTTCATGGTTAAGCTTTCAGAAACGCATTAGACGACATTACCAGAAGTTTTTATGCACTCGTAACCTGCGAGCGCTGTCCAGCTCTTGAAAGCTTGACTCAGTGATGTTATGCGAATTTTGCTGTTTATAGCACTCTTATCTTGGTAAAATGAATGGGAAGAATGGCACCTTTTCAATTCCAGGGTTTTGCAAATCACGAATATTAACGATCCGATTTTTGCCCAAAGCTGAAAATGATTTGATATAAATAACTTGAAGTGGTCTTTTCCTGTGTCACTTTATCAATAATTGTCTTTTCATAATGAATTAATAGGTGGCAGGACCCATATTTACACAAGTTGTATTCAAGTAACTCTTGAATACTTCCAATTTAACTCTTGAAAACTGCTAAATAGTGTCCAGGTCAAGCAAAATCGTCACCATTCTGCTAACATATTTTAAAGATGCTAGTTTGTTTTCTTCATTCAATGTACTTTAGCTTCATCTGCCTTGAGAACAATGTTCTGATATTTCTTCAAATGTTCATTCACACTTTTGAAAACTAATTATTTTAGGAGAAAAGGTGGCTTATTCTTTGCAAATCATCCAAAAATGTCATTCTTGTTTTGCCTTATTTTGCAATTGCCCTGCTGCAAACTTAAACATTGAAAGATAACTGAGGATATAGTCTGCATTGGAATCTTAGTTTTCAAAAACACCCAAAGGCATAATCTGGCCTTTGGGTGTTTTTGTGGAAACACCCATTCCTAGTACGATTGGGAATGACATTTGCTAATGACCAGTTTGTTTTGATCAGTATTTTTCCAGTTAAATTTTGTGGAAGCATCAAAGACATACTTAGTTTTTCATTCACAGATTTGTAATTGTGATGATGTTGCTTAAAAAAATGTTGACATTTTGAAAGCTGGGGTTTATTTTTCTACATTTGAGGTCAGACATAAATAGTTGAAAACTCACCCTCTAAATCACGCCTTGACACACAGAAAATATTAGCAACTCTAACAGAAGAACAATTCCTCATATTATGACTCCATAAGTGTTCTTTGAAATGTACATAAAGTTACACTCTGACTCACACATGTTTACTTCAATGGTAAATCTCTGTTGCCTGCTGCACTCTGGAGTAACCTCATTGGTTGGTGGAAGAGCAGCAGCTGAGTGTGGGAGTGATTGGAGATGAAGACTTTAATGACAGACCTGTTAGTGTGGATAAAAATCCACAACATTCATTGGTCAGTGATGTTTTCTTTGCAGATGTGATGAAGCTGTGGTTCCTTTGAATCATTTGCTTATATGATTGGGTTTAGAAGAGGGAATGGAATTAGCTCATTCTTCTATCTGTAAAAAAAGAAACAAAAAAAACTGACCTATATGGGAATAAATAATATAAGGTACCTACATTTAATGTTATGATTGGAAGTAAAACAGGATTTGTACTGAAACACACCTCTTTAACTCGAGCTTTCACTTACAAACACTGTTCTTTTACCTACTTCAGTTGGTCAGCTTAAGTGCTCCTTTATTGATCATCGCCTTTGCAATGATAAGTAGTTTGTAGATTAAATTGATGTATTATTATTTTTTGATCTTTTAGGTAATAGCTACCAGGTACACAACAGATTTATAGTTGATTCTTGTTTATTGGTTTGTGTGAAATAAGGTTTAGACTATAAAACTTAATTTCTTATGTACTTTAATGCATGGACTCAACCAATTGACATTGATCTTCTCTCTTACTTTGCTCCAGATGTTCTGCTTCGTTTAGCGCTAAGCTCTGGTAGAAGAGTCACCGTCAGCTGGGTGTTTAAATCACACTGAACATCTCTGATAAAAATACTGAAGAGTGAATGGTTTTAAATATTCATCGCAGCTTTACAATGCTTTCCGCTACAGTTGAAATTTTCCATTTGAACATAATGCGCTAAGTTTGAAGTTTGCATTGACTCCATACTGATGCTCAACCCAAACATTGTTTACACAACGTACATCGCAGGAACACCTTGATGGCGATGATCATCAAACCCCAACATCAAACTGTTTGGCATCCAAAGGTTGACCTGCAGAGGGCGCCAAAGTTCAATAATTCTAACATTTGATCATCAACAGATCTTTAATGTTTTACACCTTTATTACACCTCAGCATCATCTGTGTTTATTCCTAAATAAAAATGATCAAATTTTGCCTTTTCAATATTAGTACATATTTAAATCTGAGAAATGGTAAAAATATACTCATGTGATTTTAGTCGCATCCCCAATGAATGAGATATTCATCCAGCCTCAACTTCAGTCCAAAACCCTTCTACCTGAAAAATCTTTAAAAAAAAAAAAAAAAAAAAAAATCTTTTCATTTTTAGTGTCCAAATATTATGCCAACATTGTCTAATTAAAAATGATCATGGGCCAGAAAAACAAACAAAAATAAATAAAGCAAAACTCAAACATAGCGTAGTTTAATAGAGTAGTTAGATTTTTGTAGTAACGGAAAGGTTAATCAAAATTAATAAAATATCATCATCACTGAAAATAAACATGTCTGGCTTTTAAAAGTATATGCATTTGTTAAATTTAATTATTATTATTGCTATTTATCAATACCTGTTATTTTTTTTATTTTTTTGTGTGTGTGCAAAGCAAAGAATTAGCTGCCTTCATGGGACTGTTGTAATTAATATGTCTTTTTGGAGACTCCTCATTTACTCCCAAAAACATAATTCATGTTATTCATGTATGATTTGACTAATCTTTTGTAGAAAATCTAAAAAGACAGAAAACAACAACAACTCATAGACATGTTTTAAATTTATTTCTGCTCTCATATTTAGTCACAAATTTTACACTTGCAGAGTAAAAAAACAAAAACAAAAAAAACATAATAGTACATATTTACCACAGAGACAAATATCGCCCAACATGGAACTCTACCACACACATATACATTTTTACATAAATTGTCAGCATCACAAAGCAATATCACATTATCTGAGCCTAATATATTACATTTTTAAATTTACATGACAACGTGCAGAACATTTTGAGGCAGAGCATGCAGGGTCGGATCAGAACACTTGATCACTGATGAAAGCATTTGGAAAACCTGCTGAGCACACAGAATGCACACCGAGGTTTCTGCAATATATAACTATGCTGCTTCATTAGGACGCAGCGCTGACAAAATCCTGCAGAACATGCACATCTTTTATAAATAATGGGATAAGTGAGCTTTAATTAGTCACAAACCTTTCTATTAGAGCAATGTTATCTCATGTAGATACAGTAGTTTCAGGAGTTATTCAGAAGTGATACAAATTCCCAAATACAAATTGAAGTTTATATTTGGGAACGTAATGTTGGTGGATGATTACAGTACCTTGCAAAAAAAGCAATAATATCCCTTACAGTACAGGCACTAAACTTCAATGTAACTTACTTACATTTTGTGATTTTATGTGACGGAGCAAACCAAAGTAAGGCGTACTTGTAAAATGGAACTTATAACACAAGCAAATAAAAACCTAGAAAGTATGGCATAAAAATGTTTTCAGCTTTCTTTACTCTGATGCCCCCAAATAAAATCCAGCTCAAACAACTCCTTTCAAAAGCCATCTAATGACTAAATGGAGTCCACCAGTGGGTAATTTCACATCGACATAATTCTAGGCTAGTTAGAGAACATTATTGAATACACAGCATCATTTAGACCAGGGAACGATGGTATGTAAGCAGTAAGAAATCCAATTTGTAGTGTTCCCCATGTCCTGTTGGAGGCAGATCATGTGTAAAATATCACTCCAATAAAATGAGACCAGGATTAAACATTTTGGTCAAAAGGCCAACATGCAAAAGGCTATTTGTGGAAACTGTCACACTGGACACATCGTGCCCCATGCTTAAACACTGTGGTGGCAGCATCATGCTGTGTTTTCAGCAAAAGCTAGTTCTACTGAAAACTCAATCAGGGAAGTTGAATGCAAAATTCATGCCATTCGTTTTAGATTTTCATTCATCACAAAAATGTAAGTATCATTTTTCTTCCACTTCACAATAAAGGACTCCTTTGGGTCACGCTACTAAAATGTATTAAAGTTTATGGTTTACAAAATATGAGGTAATGCCGAATTTGCAACATAATAAGGTAGTGATTGTTTTTTGGTCTTTTTCTTTTAAATGTTTCACTGCTCATATTTTACAGCTGAGGTTTTAAAGCTTCAGACGTCTCAGTTCTCAGTCTCTTCACCGCAGACCACAAGACGGAGGACAACTCATCTGTTCACAGTTTCTGTCTTTGGCCGTTGTCATTTGACATCGCAGGAAACGCTGTTCTTGACTGTGAGGCTCAGCGCTTCAGAGGCACGGAACGAGAGCGCGCTCATCTTGGAGCTGATGCTGGGATGAGGCCTTGCAACACCGCCTGGAGAGCATCGCAGCAGTCTCAGTAAGTTCTTGCGAAAGTTGCGCCCTACAAAGCTGTACACGATGGGGTTGACGCAGCTGTTGAAGTAGGCAATGCAAATGGTGAACGGCATGGCGGTGTCAATGATTTCCAGGATGGTGCAATTGTTAGCCAAGATAAGCTGAGTGAGCATCTGCATGAAGTGAAATACTTGGTGGGGTGCCCAGCACAGGAAGAAGGCCAGGACAGCTGCCGCGAGCATGCGCAGCACCTCGTCGTCCCGGGAGCAGGAGCTTTTCTGGATATGCTTCACCCTTAGCAGGGCCCGCCCAATAAGACAGTAGCAAGTGATGATGATGACAAAAGGTATCAGAAAACCCAGCAGGCTTTTCATGAGGCTGATGCACAGGAGGAGATTGTTTAGCCTTTTGACGTCTTTGTCGTTTGGGTGCAGGGTGCCACAAACTATGGTTTTAGAGTTTTCGATGTAGTGGACATCCCTGGTCAAGGCTATGGGAACGCTAAGCAAAAAGGCAAACAGCCAGATCATCACACAAGTGATGTGTGCGTACACCACGGTGCGAAACTGCCGGGAGCGCACCGGGTGCACAATGGCCAGGTAACGGTCAATGCTGAGTGCCGTGAGGAAAAAGATGCTCGTGTAGAGGTTGAACATAACCAGTCCAGCGGCAGTCTTGCACAGAAACCCTCCAAAAGGCCAGTGGTAACCCATGGCTGCAAAGGTCGCCCACATGGGCAGAGTGATGACGAAGGTGAGATCAGACATGGCGAGGTTGAGAACAAAGATATTGGCCACCGTTTTGAGCTTCATGTGGCAGTAGATGACCGCTACCACCATGCTGTTTCCGACGATGCCGATGACAAAGTTGAAGGCGTAGACGATGGGCACCAGGGTGAAGATGAACTCGTGGCTTCCAGACATGCCACATGTCAGGTTTATCCCCGCTGGCTCGCCTCTCGTTTGGTTCGGCATTTCCCCCACCCTTTTTTGTTTTTTTTTTGCGGTGCCAGATCCTTTAGAGTAGGGAACCGTGTCAGTGGGGGGGTGCGTCTGTGGCGACTGATACAGGCCTTGGGCGAGGGCCTCGGCACGTCCTATAAAAGAAAACACAACAGAAATGTCACAGACAGTCTGGGAGAGGAGCCGTCATTACTGCTGGCATGGTCCATAAACGCTAATCCACACGAGCACCCATGAAAGTGCCCGCCCTGCACTAGCTCATTAAAGACCTGAACATTAAAGCCATCCTGAAGCTTTATGTTATTTCTGTAAATGAAGAAGCCATGAGAAACAGATGTCACATGTTTTTCAATATTCCAAAAATGTCCTTTGAAAGATCATTATTCAGACGGTCTGTTTTCTGTTCCCTCCTCTAATTTCTCCCTCAGCTAATGAAGGGCAAAAGGGGGTGAGGGAGCTGGGGGTGTTTATCAGACTTGTGGACTGACAGCGCCCAGATGAATGTTTACACCCGGCATTACGACCTGTGCTAATTGAAGGCTTTCATGGCACAGCTCCGAGCTCTGATGACAATGGCGTTAAAGGCAGAGGTGCGAGAGGGAGCAGCGAGGAGAGAGTTAAAGAGCTCCGTGGCTCCGGGCGCCGCAAAAAGACCTGTCATGTTCGAAACCCTTGGCGAGCGGAGATACGTCGCACCCAGCTTGAGAACTTCTAATCAGCACACACCTAAACAAACAGGACAGCAGGGATTCGGCTCTGTGGAAACTTCACTCTGTGAGAAAATCAAACCTGCGTGCCACAGAAAATTTGCCCCAGGGCTAGTTTTTTTTTTTTTTTTTTTTAACTTCATTTGTATGTGCAGAATGAGAGATGGTTGTAAAAATAAAAAAAATCCTCCCATTTGCTGATAGTCTTTATGTTTAATAGAATAGCTTAGTGGTGTCATTAGCGAAACTGATGCAATAATATTAGCATAAGGCGTGTGTATGTAACATTTAGGCCATAAAGACACTTTCTGTTACTAATTATGAGCAAACAGGATGTTTGTGGAATCATTAAACCAGGCAGACACACAGAGAGACATGTACTGAGCTTTGAGCTCAAGAACAGGTGAATAGCTTGATGATGCTATAAAAATTAAATGGGCTGATTTAGGGAAATTAAGTTGACTGTTTTGCTGAGATAATGACAAAAGGCAGAAATTAAGTCCTTAAAGTACCAGTTTGGTAAAACTGTGTGTCTTGCCACAAGATGGCACTCTAGCAATACGATTGCACTCAAATGTTCTTTTACGTCTCAGTAGAGAGCAAAAAAAAAAAAAAAAAAAAAAGGGGGGCATTAAAAGATTTAGGCAAAAATAACAGGTGAGTGTTTGTTAAATTAAAATTCAATTTTGTTCTTCGAGAAACTGTGTTTCGTGCTGCCGTCGGAGTGAGGTTAAAGCTTGTCTGAGCCGTGAAGTGGAACGCTTTTATCTTAGATTGGAGGATCTCTTCATTTTCCACCAGGTTTTAGCGGATGAATTTTCCGAGTGCTAAAGCAACAATGGTATCGGTTGCAGATGTGGGCACTGCGTCTTCAGTGTGGAAGGTGCATGGCTGCCAAGGGCAACACCGTAATGAAAAGCTCTCAGAGTTTCCTGCACAGACCTTCCTCTGTAATGGTTACAAAGCAAAGAGAGACCAGAGATGTCATTGCTGGGATTTCCTAAACATATTCTTTTCTGGGTTTTTTTTTTTTTTTGTCTGTGAATCAAAATATTATTCAAAGCAGGACCACGCCATTATTTTACAGGTTAAGATTACAGTGCCTTGCAAATGCATTCAAAACCATTGAACGCTTCCATAGTTTAATAAACTTTAATGCAATCTAGGTAACATAATAACAGAAAGCATCCCATAATTGTGAATTGGAAGGAAAATGATTCATAGTTTTAAGCATTTTATACAAATTGATGCCATTCATTTTGCTTCAGTCTTTTTGGTCTGCTACCTCAAGACTGAATGAAGCCATCAAAAGTTATCTGACTGGTAGATGGAGTCCTCCTGTGTGTTATTTAGTGTCAAAATAAATGCAGCTGTTTTATGGAGGCCTCAGAGGTCTGTGAGAGAACGTCAGTGAAGATCAAGAAACACAGCAGACAGGTCAAGGATAAGACTGTGGAGAAGTTTAAAGTTTAAAGCTACAAAGTAATATCCAGAACTTTGAACGTCTCTCAGACCACTGCTCTCTATATATATAAAACCAGAAAGACATGGCTGTCCTCCTAATCTGACAGGCCAGACAATGGCACCATCATGGTGACTCTGGAGGATCTGCAGAGATCCATGGCTCAGTCACAAATCATGCTGTGATTTTCTTACCACTCAAACATGGTTTTGACAACATCATGATTGTGAGGATGCTTTTCTTCAGCAGGGATAGAGAAACTGCACCGTTGAGAGGAAGATGAATAGAGCTCTATGTAAAGCTATCTTGAAAGAAAACCTGTTGGAAGCTGCCCATGCCTAGATTAGAGTAAAGTTTCCCCTTCCAGCAGGATGATGATCCTAAATTTACAACCATGGTTACAATGAAATGATTTAAATGATTTAGTAAATGTCCAGTAAAAGTCACAACTATGGCTAACGCTAGTCTGTAACATAATCCAATGAAATGCATAGAATTTGGGGTTATAGTAAGACACAAGGTAAAAAAAAAAAATCAGGCTCTAGAGTTACAGTGAATCTCTTGGTGGTCAAAACATTTCTGATGACCACAAGTGGAAACAATCTGACAACATGCGGACTGTACAGGTTATATACCAGTATGCGATTAGTTGACCACTGGTATTTTTCCATGAGGGGGGATAGTGATTGCTAGAGCAGTGCTATTTAAGCAAAGCTGAAAGTATGAGAATCCTATAAAAATTGTAAGGTGGTACCAAAAGAAGGTTGATCTGCAACAGGTTAATAAGTGCCCCTCTGTCCAGTGAGCTTCAGCTCTGAGTGAGATGGCACATTACTAAACGGTAGCCATAAACCTTGGGTGACCACACTCAGGAAGGTAAACATCAACCAAGCTGCATCCTCTAAGACAAGACAAAGGTCCGTGTGTCACTGTGCCCATCTACAAACACAAAGCTGCTGACAATGAAAGATAAAAATCAAAGTTTTGAGAACGTTTGTGGACTTTTCCGACCCAAGGCGTGCTGACTGAGTTCTGAGTGACACTGTAGTTGCAACATCCCACATCTAATCCTATTTTGGGGGCATTCAAATGTGCCTCTTCCTGCATGAACTCATGGGAATCCTGCTGGAGAAAGCAAACCGGGCTAAACAGAAATGAGGTTCCCATCAACCGAGTTATTCGAAACTGCCCGCAGGTGCAGCACCAATCTGCTCTGACATGAGCACCACCATCTGGTCAGCCGTAGCGAGAAGCAACGACAGTCTCTGGCTGATGGAGTTAATGATTTATACAAAGCCCATTAGGAAGCAAGGTTCACCATGCTTCCGAATGCATGGTTCACCATGCCATTAGGAGGCATGCATTAGCCATCTCCTGATCGTCCTCTCATTTCAGCCTCGTTTGGTCGACAGGAAGTTCCTTCAACAATAGGTGCTTTCAGCTCTTCACATCCTGCACATCTTAGCAAGTTAGAAGAGCGCACATTCACCTCCATTTGTCACAACTAATTCATGCCTGCATTAAAACTGGCAAGACAGTATGACTCATCAGTTTCTCCCTGAGGATTAATATTAGTTATATCTAACCATACTCTGTCACCACTTTCCTCAAAATTATTAAGTCGGCACTTCAAATGAAGTTCAAAGCTTCTCGTACTGTTTGTATTGTTGCATATAAAGTATTTTGCATCTTTATGTGCAGAAAAATGAATAAGTAAGTAACAGCATAGTCGCCACCATGAACATTTTATCCATGTGCCCCCGATCAAATTTCAGCGAAAACTTGAAAGCCACTGAAGATCTATTTTAGGAAATAAACAAAAACAATCTGACTGGAAGGAGGGGGAATAGAAAAGATTATGTACAGAAACTGACTGTGGCGAAGTTGTACAAATAAAATTGCACAACAAAAGTTTAAAAATATTTGCCTAACTGTAAGTGGGAATAGTTTTAGAAAAATATTATGTATGCTGAAGAAAACTTGAAGCAGTGATTTCTTCTAAACTCCAGTTTTTCATAGTAAATGTGTGTTTTGAAACTATTTTAAAAAACAAATGTGCATGTATTCATTCATACCTCAAAGACTAATGGCAGCATTGTGACGTGGGGATGCATTTTTCATCAAGAGAAATAGAAGAAGACAATTAAAGGTGGGTTGAGCTGAACATGATCTGTCAGTAAATGCATGGATGTATATCTATATTTACTATACTGCCAATGAACATAACATATATTTCTTACTATTTCAGATACACCGGTTTCATTCCCACTGAAAACAAGCGTTATGTTTGAATGAAAATGACTTTTAGTCTATATTTGCCAAAGGTGTGAATAACTGCAAGATTTAAGATATAAAAATGAATTGTGACATTGCTGATTGTTGCATTGTCTATTGTGAATAATCCATATTTTCGTCATTCCTCTTTTTCTTTCTCTACACTGTTCTCCCTACATCTACATCCAGTTGTAGGCATAAAGGACAATGGAAGTCTTTCCAAGTAGCCAGTTTAAGTATCCTTAGAAACCATGTTTCTTTTTATTCTAAATATCTTACATAATATATGCCAACCAAATGTTGCAACCAAGTAATTTTTTTTGGGATTGCGATATCGCACAGAATAATTTTGCTCTAATGTAATTATTGTATTGTGCAGTTTGAAATAAACATAGAGATAAGTTAAATAGTTGCAGCTAGACTTTATTTGTATTGAGATCTTGTGCCCTCGTTGGGCTTTTCGTTTAGCAACGCTCCTGGTGTCCATAAGCTAACTGGGTCATGTCTTACGGTTTGCTGCAGAGCAGATAATGGAAACTGCATACTTCAAATGTCAGGTCCAAACAGTTGTTTGTTTACAGAACTGAGTCCACATGTGGCCTGCACAATTAAACAGAACAAGGTTCTGCCCATGGAGTTCCATTCATTTCCTGCACTGTACTCACATGTCTATTTACAACACAACAGATAAGAAGTCATTTTCTCACCTACTTATTTTTAGTCCATTAGAGGATTACTTTGCTGCGGAGCTTTGACGCTGCCTTGGTTATAAATATGAAAACCATCAAAGGCTTACGAATCATCTAGAAAAGTTAGACCTACATACATCTCACGTTCTAGTCGAGAATAAAGTCTTTCCGAAAGAAGTTCATGCTTGTTTATTCACACAGGCCCACATGATTTTATTCCCCAAACAATGTCCGCTCACCTTTAGATAGCATTCTTTAAGAATTGGGCATTTCAGCAGGAATGCATCTTCTTGTTTTGTCAGGAAGCAGACCTAATCCAGTGTGTCTATGAACACGCTACTTTGCATAGGTTGCGAAATATATGGCAGAATTCCCTTCATGCCATTTCAAAGGCTAAAGTAGACACTTTGCAGGTCTTTCACATGAATAACCTAAACAAATGGCGACGATGGGCCTCACCAGTCAAAGCAGTGGTTACAAATAACTTGTGGAGTTGTCATTACATAAATATTATTACAACTGCCAGCGTTCTGCCCCAGGACAGGGAGCCACTAGCTGACTGCCTGAAAAGTACTATTTAATTACTGAAAGCAACAGAAACCCAGAGATTTCTGACATAAAAACTTTTATTAGAGTGGGAGCTCTTACCTTCAGCTGTGGAACCAGGAGGCTGTGTGATGCCTTCAGAGCTGGATGAACACAGGGACAGAGAGAGACCGCTGCGGAGTGCCAGCCCCTGTCTGTGATTTAACTTAACTCATGGAGCGAGATGAGCAGGACTCCTGCCTGACACACAGACAGACCCCCTCCCCACGCTTCCAAATTCTCTCCCTCTCTCTCTTTTTTTCCCCCTCACAAACAAGACACACACACACACACACAACCCCCCCCCCACACACACACACACTACAATGATAAATGGAGTTTATTGGAGTCAGTTAAGTTTTGTCCTGGCCCAGCTATATTTACCCAACAGGCCATAGTCACACTCTCACACAAACAGCGTCACTAAAGTTCTTGCTCTTCTGTTTTGACTGCATCCTGTGTGTTTTCAGTTGCTCTTTGTTTTTGTTCGAACTGATTTAATCTGAATATCGCTGCCATGCAAAGGGTATTCTTGATGTTCTTGCCTTTTCCAGAGCTGTATCTTTTTAATCGCTTTCTTTTGCGTCAACTGAATTTACTTGGCAATTGCTGCCACGCATAGAATGTTCTTGAACTTCTTGCTATGGCCACAAAATGATCTTATCATGTCAGCACCTTGTCCGTCGTCCTCGGCTCATCCTGAAAGGAGCAGCCGGGCTTTGATTATGACGGACCCTGTCATCATGTGTTATTAATAGCTGCTAAATGCTGTGTCTCAGTTTGAATCAAGCAGTATTGTTAAAGGCTTGGGAGGGGGGTGGGGGTCTCAGAAAGGGGGTAAATTGGGACTGGTAGGGAGGAGCTGGGTTTTCCAGTCATTGTTGGGGTTTCTCCAGACATTTCCTGTTTAACAGTGTGAGATTCAGCTGTTCTTATTTTCCTTCTTAATTTTAGTTTATTTATTTATTTTTTACACACTGTCTGGGATTCTGTTCTACCACCCCAGACTTCACGAGTGTTGCAAAGTCTGCAGTATGTAAACTGGCTGTTATTGGTCCTAAGTGGGTAAAAAATGTCCGCTGTGTGGATATAAATTGACGTGTGTTGGTACGAAATGTCCTGTGGCAGTCGGCCCTATTTTGCACCAAGTACCAAACAACAAAAACTGCGAAAGCATAAAATAATGACGTTAGAAATGGACAAGCACTTCTCCAATGTCTCTATTGGAACTCTCTTGTGACTGAAGTCTTTGATAAAAATAATAATTTAAAGCAAGATCTTTAGCACTAAGGGAAAGAATCTGAAGCCTGACCACTCTGAGAACGTTTAATCCAGCTACATTATAAAGGAATGTCTATTTTTAGTGACCACAGGTAACTTCAGGCACCGACCGGTACTAAAGGTATTTGTCTCGCACTATTTTCTCTTTCAGGATCCTGACAGAAGTTGAGGAGTTGCCTCCCTACTTGAGGCATGCTGAGGTGTAGCGAGTTGTGCAATAAGTGCACAGAGTTTTACTAAACAAAGAGTTGCAGATGAACAAAGACATGAACTTAAAATAAAGAAAGGAAACACAAACAATTGAGGAGCTTCAGCTAGCCTTATCGGTCACTTTTTCCTCACTCTGGTGTGACCTTACCATTTGTCCAAGTTAGTGCGAAACTCGACAGGTGAAAATACCCAGGAGGTCAAAAGGGAACTAATACAAAGGCCTGGAGAGAGTTTTGGAAATATAATAACATGCAGGTGTGTGTGTATATATATATATATATATCTTCAGTTTTATACCTGTTGTATTTCAAAAAGGGAAGGTTATGACAGAGTTTATCTCGCTTTGCACAGCAACAGAGCCATTTACACCTCCAGAGGGATTACAGTTCAGCTCCATTATAACTTCTATTACTGCGAATGATAAGAACTATCCATTAGGTTAGGTGTATTCTATGAGAGCAGCAAGAGTCTGCGGCAGCAAAATTCTCGCTCTTTGCTGCCACAGGAACAATCGATGGCCTGCATCTGACCCCATGAGACCTCTCAGGAAGCGAAGACGAAGAGTTATGCATCGGGCCCTGAATCTCTAGCTGTATATTCTACGAAACAAACAATTTTTTTCTTTTCTTTTTTTTTTTTTTTATTTGTGGGACAGGATGTTGTTGCAACACCCAGCACTATAACAGTGATTTACACTCTTGGACTACATGCAGGAACAGATGTTGATGATTTAAAAATGAAGATTTGTGAGAACATGCTGTGGGAAATATTGTCTCTTCAGGGATGGCACTATTATAGAAAATTAAAAAAAAGTTGTTTGTCTGAATTTGTAGACAGTACAGCAAACCAAAAGAGAATCCCCCTTTCAGTGGTCGATCCAAGATTATGTCCAAAACAATGTTTTGCAACATTGCGCAACAGAGGTAAAATCCTGGCTTATTTATTTGATTTATTGATTGCAGGTTGCATCATTTCTGAGTGAGTAAGGTCAGAAACTGGACGAGGCTTCATCTCTTACACTCATTGCCCTGAGGTGTGGTAGCGCTTGATGTTCCTGCTAATCAAATCATTCTAACAAGATTAGCTTGGTTAGCGCTTAAGCTGTTGTAGAATGAATTGTCGTAATTACTGGTAGCACAGGGAGCACTGCGGGGAAGGACAGACCTTGTACAGCACAGCAACACAGTCGGTGAAATGCCAAACCCAAAGCAGAAGCACCTACCAGGGAAACACAATACCGTGCAATATGTGAAGATTGAGTTCAGACCATAAAGTGCTTATCGAGATTGAGTAAGGAGCTGTTTAATCTCCTTACGGAAAACAAATCTCTCCCTCCGTATTTACTAGCACACCTTGTGAAAATCTGTAAAGACATTCCAATATCTTAAAATAAATGGAAATGTCATTTTTATATATATATATATATATATATATATATATATATATATATATATATATATATATATAATTATGTTACATTTGCACCAGCCCTTCAAGATTTTTTTTTAATTAATTAAATATTTTTACATACTGATCAAGTTTAAAACGTAAATGGGCATCATAAGTTATGGTACTGATTATTTGCTAAAAAAAAAATATATATATATCTAAAAAATAATAATAATATTGGGGATTGTCTTCCCATTTAATAAAAGTAAGCACATTCCAAGAAGTGGAGTTTTAAAAAATTCAACGCAATTAGAGATATGCTTATTTTAGGATCAT